TTAGGATGATGACACAACACGAGTAACACACCTAGGCATAGAAATCAGTTTCTTTGGTTTGTTTTATATTATGTTGTATCATTAAAGACCTAAACACATAGAATATACAGTCTTCATGAATCTAAAATAATTTGCTAATAACTATTTTGATTCTTCAGAGAGAACTAATAAAAATCTAAACGTAAAAAAAAAAAAAAAAGAACTCACATTTAGAAACACGAATCATGCCTTAGAAACAAGCAGCTCTCCTCAGGGCACTGGAGTCTACAAACATGTTTGTGGCTCTTTGCCCATAGGAATGAATGGGAGCGAGAACATCCTTCTGCAGTTTCTCTGCACCTCCAGCTGGAAAGTCACAAACTTCATAGATGCTTTCTCTTTGGAGACTGAATGATTTGTCACTCTTTTCACAGTGCAAAACTGTGAAGTACATTAGTTACAAAAGCGAAGTTTTAGCCAGAGTTCTGTATTGCGCTGTATACGGGACCAGTCACTGGAGTGCCCTGCTTGGCAAAGAAGCTGGAGCTTAGCTGCCTCTTCTCCATTAAGAACTCACACTGAGAAACACAAATCATGCATTAGAAAGAAGCAGCTCTCCTCAGGGCACTGGAGTTTACAAACGTGTTTGTGGCTCTTTGCCCATAGGTATGAATTGGAGAGAGAACAACCTTCTGCAGTTTCTCTGCACCTCCAGCTGGAAAGTCACCAACTTCACGGATGCTTTCCCTTAGGAGACTGAATAATTTGCCACTCTTTTAACAGTGTGGAACTGTGAAGTAATTTAGTTACAAAAGCGACGTTTTAGCCAGAGTTCTGTGGTGCACTGTATACAGGAACAGTCACTGGAGTGCTCTGCTTCCCAAAGAAGATGGAGCTTAGCTGGCTCTTCCGCATTAAGAACTCACTCTTAGAAACACAAATCATTCAGTACAAACAAGCAGCTCTCCTCAGGACACTGGAGTAAACAAACGTATTTGTGGCTCTTTACCCATTGGAATGAATGGGAGAGAGAACAGCTTTCTGCATTTTCTCTGCACCTCCAGCTGGAAAGTCACAAACTTCATGGATGCTTTCTGTTTGGAAACTGAAAGATTTGCCACTCTTTTCACAGTGCAGAACTGTGAAGTACTTTATTTACAAAAGTGACCTTTTAGCCAGAGTTCTGTGTTGCGCTGTACACAGGAACAGGCATTGGAGTGCCCTGCTTCCCAAAGAAGCTGGAGCTTAGCTGGCTCTTCTTCAATAAGAACTCACACTTAGGAACACAAATCATGCAGTAGAAACAAGCAGCTCTCCTCAGGGCACTGGAGTCTACAAACGTGTTTGTGGCTCTTTGCCATTAGGAATGAATGGGAGAGAGAACAACCTTCTGCTGATTCTCTGCACATCCAGCTCGAAAGTCACTAACTTCACGGATTCTTTCTCTTAGGAGACTGAAGGTTTTGCCACTCTTTTCATAGCATGGAACTGTGAAGTACTTTAGTTACAAAAGTGACGTTTTAGCCAGAGTTCTGTGTTGCACTGTATACAGGAAAAGGGATTGGAGTGCTCTGCTTCCCAAATAAGCTGGAGCTTAGCTGGCTCTTCTGCGTTAAGAACTCACACTTAGCAAGGCAAATCATTCAGTAGAACCAAGCAGCTCTCCTCAGGGCACTGGAGTCTAGAAACATGTTTGTGGCTCTTTGCCCTTAGGAATGAATGGGCGAGAGAACAACATTCTGCAGTTTCTCTGCACCTCCAGCTGGAAATTCACAAACTTCATGGATGTTTTCTCTTAGGAGTCTGAATGATTTGCCCCTCTTTTCACAGCGTGGAACTGTGAAGTACTTTAGTTACAAAAGTGATGTTTTAGCCAGAGTTCTGGGTTGCGCTGTATACAGGAACAGTCATCGGAGTGCCCTGCTTCCAAATTAAGCTGGAGCTTAGCTGGCTCTTCTCCGTTAAGAACTCACACTTAGAAACACAAATCATGGGGTCTTGTACATTCTAGACTGGCCTTGAACTTATAGAGATCCTCCTGCCTCAAACTGCCATGTACTGGGTTTACTGAGGGTACCGCTACACCTAGCCCTAGGTAGTATGGTTTTTGTTATAGTCAGCAGCATGGTTGAATTAAAGCCATATAAGTACACATTTATTCCAAAATTCAAGGAAGAGTGTTTATTCTTCCTAAGGTATTAGGGAAGAGTAATAACTGCTATTTTGGTTTCTAA